TTTCAATTGCGTGAGATATGGGGGAGGGGCGGGCGGAGAGGAGATAAGGCTAACAGCAGTAGGTGCTGAGAACCACGGAGTGGCGTCTGGGAGGAAAGGGTCAGCGGGGTGGGGGTCATACCCAGGAGCTGAGGGGCACGGCGTCAAAGGTCGTTGTGCGCCTCTTGTATTGTACTCCAAACGGTCCAACGCAGCAATGGCGGTCGGCGCTTCCGACGAATAGACAGACCAATCACGTTCCAGAAGCTCTTATAGCTCAAAGGAGATCTTCGTCCACCCCCATCCCCACCCTTCGTTGCCTCACGCTCAGGTAAACGACATCAGCATCATTATCACCACGATCGAGATCGCTGAAACCACCACCATCATCAACCCCGCCCATACCTCGCAGCCTAACTCACCTTGTCCGATAAATCCAACATGCGGTGGCACGCGTAGGCAGCAGAGCTCCACCTGATGGCACCGAGGAAAACGCGTGCGCAGCACAAAGGTGGGGGGGGGGCGGTTACGTGCGGAGTCCCCTCGGTGTCTCGATTCCCCGTGCCAGAACAACACAGGGCGACACTTTGCACTAGCGAGGAGAGTTTCATCGGTACAGTCGAGGGGCACCGGGCACGCCACACAAAACGAAAACCAAACCGAACTGAGCAGTCAAGGGCTCCACAGGACAAATACACCTAAGCAAGGACATCAAGGACATCAGCAAAACCAAGGACGGTTGAACGAATCGCTTTCCAAGAGAAGCGAAGGACGAAAAAAAAAAAAAAAACGGGAGAGGAAACCGTCTCCAAGAGAGAGCAAAGCCGAAAAGGAAAAACAGGGCAGAGCCGCGGGAATAGCAACAAACCACTTACCTCCCCAGCCTTATCAATGCCTCCGCTTGGTTCTCCCACATCCGCCAGTTGCTCGGCATCTGCTTGAGCCCCTGGGTGAAGGCCGCCGCGGCCCCGGCCCAGTTCCCCTGGTGCATGTGGACGGCGCCCATGTTTCCCCAGGCCTGTTTGCACCATTCCATGCACAGAAATAAGATGGCAGCGGGGGACACGTTTGAAATCAAGAAGCAAGGAACGAAAACAAAAACTGAAGCCACAATCTCAAGGCGAAAAGAAATACCTTTGACAACAGAAGCAGCAGAAGCAGCAGCAGTCGTTGTGGCAAAAATGTTCACGATGTCGATGAAACCCTGACAGCGCCCCACTTGGATGGGTAGGCCTCGCCAAGTAACTGCACCGACATTGCCTCCGACCACAACCCCGACAACGTCACCACCACCAGCAGTGGAAAAAGTAGTCACGATATCGATCTACCCTGACCCTCCCACCAACTCCAGTCAACAACAACCGCCGACCAAACAACACCAACAACAGCAGCAGCAGCAGCAGCAGCAGAACCGACAAGCGGTTCTCTTCCTCGACGTCATCGCAAACAACAATCGCCGACCATAACCAACAGCAGCAGCAGAACCGACACATGTTTTGCTCCCCATCGTACCTCCCCTTCCTCCGGCTCCTGCTGCGCCACCGTCGAGAACGCCTGCAGGGACTCCTGCCACCGCCCGAGCCTCATCCTCGCCACGCCCAGCGAGAACCACGCCGCGGTAAGCAGCGGTTTTACAGCCAGCGCCTCCTCGTAGTGCCCGCACGCCTCCTCGTACTTGCCCTCCCCGAAGCGCAGCCTGGCCAACGACGCCTGTGGTGCCAAAAGAGGGCGGCCCGCAGGTTGTGATGAGGGGGTGGGGGGGGGTACTCTCATGTTTTGCATGCCTTAGGTGTTAGGCCATTGATTACGCCGCGTCCTCGAGAGGACGGGGACGGGCCGATTTGTAACCGAAGACGCCGGTGTGTCCAAGGAAGAGGGCTTTTTTGGGTTTCGTGGATGGATGGACGGTCAAACCCGATCGTCTTTTTTTTTAGGGAAACTTTGAGACCCACTTGTGCATGCCGGGGAAAGGGGGTCGCTGCCGGCGTGTGTGCGTTTCACGTATCCCCTCCTTATTTCTCCGGCTGGACGCTACTACCCATGCGTGCGGACCTACACATGCATCGATGACTGATTAACCTCTTTGGGTCCATGCAGCCAGCTCTATATACAGTACTATTGTATACTCTGATACACCCGAGAATTTTCCTAGCCACCGGTCTCTTCGCAACCTCTGGGCTGGACAATTCCCCCCCCCGGCTCCCAACAGCCCGTCGCACCTTGGCTCGCGCGTAGCGGCCACCCGACAGGTCCCACGCTCGCTGCCAGCACTCCGGGTCTTGCGTGAGATCCCCCAGGGCCGCCAGCATGCCAGGGGTCTCCTTCTCCAAGAGGCGTTCTCGCGCGATTTTCTCCGCCTTGTGGGCCTGCACCGAAGACAGAAATAAAACGAGCAGCAGTAGTATTGATTGGTGTTTGTTCGAGGTTGTTTTTTTTGTCCGAGAGAGACTGACGGTTTGTTCATTCGGTCGACGTCGTCGATGCCACGCGAAAAGCAAACGGAATTCAACGACGCCCTCGGACGGAACATGCCTGCCACGACAATCGAACGTGCGTGCACAACCACCTTCCACCCCCCGGCGGAGCGGCACTGCTGTACCCTACCTGCTCCATGTGGCGGTAGCACTCGACCGCCTCCTCCCACATCTCCAGGTCCAAGAACTCGGCGGCGGCGGAGCCGAGCACCCCCATCGCCGCGTAACGCCTGGCCAGGTCTCTCCGCAACTCCCACCGGGGCGGGAACGACAGGCTGCACAGGAATCGGAGCCGGTCCTGGACGGGGGCCGAGTCTTCGACGATCTAGATTTTCATGGATAAAAGTGAAGGTGCCACAAAGAACAGAGGGCGATAGGGGAGGGGGGGGGGGGAGGGGGGGGGACCCAACACGTCACGGTTGTACGTACGGGCCTGTTCGCAAAAGGGTCACATCGAGGGGGGGCAGGGAGGACAAGGCGGTACACGCTACTGCTCGGCAACATTCGGAAGAAATTTAATTGGACAACGTGCGCTACAAACTCCGCAAGCCAGCATGGAGCTGGTGTATCGTAAACAAATCATAATGGCGCTTCTGCAATCGGCACACGGGATCGGAGAACCACGGAGGGCGGACGAAAATGATCAAGGCGATGGGACGTGCGAGTGCACGACATAACGATGCGGCAGCAGCAGCCAGGGGGGTCCGCAAAAGCACAGCTGAAACAATGCAAATGGAAACAAAAAAAGAACTATTGTAACACGTTTGGCAGGACCTTAATCTCACCGATTGCGCCGACTGCATGTAGGTGAGCTTGGTCGTGTGCTGATCGAGCAGGGCCTGGAGCTGAAGCGCGGCTCGATCTCTCGCGTGAGACCTCTCAAACTCCACCCACGCCCTCTGCAAGAGAGCCGTGCTGTAGATCTTCGGCGCAGCAACGATGGTCGCAGAAGGACCGAGAAACGAGGCCTTCTCTTTAGAGCATGAAAAAACAATAGCACCCCCACTCCAGAGTGAAAAATAATCATAAATAGACTACGGTGGGTTCCTTGCTCGTGGCACGCTGAGGAGGTAGACCGGGAGGTGGACAGCGGGACTGAATCGAAACATGGTTGTGAAAAGCGCGGCCTATTTTACCGTCGCCCAATTTCTACGCCAAGAGCACCCAGGGTCCCAGGAACGGAAACCACCAAAAAACGATACTCCAGCCTCGGGCTCGAACCCACGAGCTACCTTTTGGTACGTTGCCGAAATCAAGCGCCATTGACCCAGCCAACTGGTCTACAACAACTGGTTCGATTTCGGCCGCTTAAGCCTCCCGCTCTCTGCCGCTGTCCATGTCTCTCTCACCATCCAGTTGCAGCCCGGCTGTCGGAGGACCCTCGCGATGTAGGGCGTCATCTGCTCGTTCGTGAGGCCGTCTCTCGGGTTGGAGTTGCTCACGTCGAGGCACAGCCCGAGGATGATGGCCAAGTCAACGTCCTGCGAAAGACGGGGGGGCACGGGGGGCAGGGATGGGGCAAGATGGCATCGCGACCGACCGCACAACGTCAGCAGCAATTACGCCCCCGCGCGGACACGTACAGGATAAAACAAAGCCGTTCGTGCGAGTGTTGGCGGATCAGGACCAACGTGTTTGTTAAAATCTGGATACAGCCAGGAACCATCACCAAGAGCGTGGCATCTGGAGGGCGGTGACCTCGATCGGCGGTTTGACGGCTACAGAACGCCATGCGGAGCGGTTAAACAAACAGTAAATTTTCTGGCCAGCGACCCCCCCTCCCCCACTCTCAAAAGAGCCTTCGCTGGGCATGACACACCCGCAGACTTCATCCCTCGAAAAAATACAAAAAAAGAGTCGTATTGTACCCATCCACTCTCACGAGACTCCCTCCCACCCAAACCCACGTTCCCACACCGACTTCACACACATGCGCACCACACATGCCTGCCGAACAACCAAATCAAACCAAACCAAAAAGACACACCTGCAGCTTGCCGGGGTTCTCCAGGTCCCGCTGCACGAAGCTGATGTCCTCCAGCAGAGCGCTGTCCTCCGCGTGCACCGTCCGCCTCGCCGCCGCCCTCCGCCCCTCCTCGCCCACCGCTGTGCTCATTCCCAGCTCCGGCCCCGCCCCTATCGCCCCCGCCCCCGCCGCGGTGGCCGCCTCGGTACTCCCCCCCTCTCCGTCGCCGCCAGACGGCGTCTCGGCGGAGGTTGTCTCGCCTGCCGGGACGGGGGGAGCGGGCGGCGGCGGCGGCGCAACCGGTGCCGTTTCGTGGCCGGCGTCCTCGCCGACGGGGGTGGCCGACGACGCCACCAGCACGAGCTGCGCGATCTGGGACTGCTGGTACTTGGTGCGCTTGCCGAGGGCGCCGGTGAGGCCGGCCGTCAGTCCCGACGCTTCTTTGGCCCTGGCGAAGCTCTCCTTGCCCTTGGAAGGGTCCTGCCGAAAACGACAAAGCAAGACGATGCCGACAGCAGTAAAACAGCAACAGTTACGTGGGGCTGAACAGGCGTCGGTAGGGTCCTGACAAAGAAAAAAAAACAGCAAAGCGGAACACCCCAAGGGGGGAAACGGGGCGATGGCAGGGTCTTGGCAAAAAACAAAAGCTACCACGACAGCAGCAACGCGAAACGATACATAAAGAGGGACATGTGGACGTTTTGTGGAGGTCGGGATCGAAACGGTTTAACTAACGGATTAACTGGTTCGCCGGGGACGTCCTGATATTTTCATCGCTCAGGGCACCACATGATGGACGATTGGAAGGAGGCTCTACGGTGACACTCCTGGGCACCTCAATCGCTTCCCTGTCAGGCCAATGGACCGTGTTTCCCCGGCAACTTTCAAAGGGCCACAAGGAAAGGACGGCAATAAGTGTGTCTGTCAACGATCGTCAACACCCTACGGCAGATCACCCGCAGGCGGTGTGTGAGAATGCTGAAACACCATGGCACAGTGGGTCAGCCCTTCGCAAGGGCTGTTGTTCACCGCTCGATGGTGGAGGGTGGAAGCGATCGCTCCATCAAAGTTAGGCAAAAGCTAGAGATCGAGAGCCGTAAACGAAGCGGAAACACCGACCGCTAAACGCCTCCTCTCTCCCCGTCGAAGCGACAGCTAGTTACCCCCGAACGCTCTTCTTGGGACGTTGTTCACGTTCATTCTTTCAGCAAACATTCCAACAACACAAAAAAACAACGGCGACACGCGGACACACCCCAGTCTTAAAAAGGGTGGTGCATACAACCTCCACAACCTCTGTCGAGGACGACTCCCTCTTTTGACAAACTGGAACGCTCAACAACAAACCTGGAAGTGATGCTGCGCCAACCCCCACTCCAGCCAAACCTGCCCCGACACCCTCCTTGCCACTTCCGCCCCGCCGCTGCCACCGCCGCCGCCCGCCACAGCAGGCCCCGCGCCTCCGCCGAACAGACTGACGGCGCGGCCGAACAGCCCGCGCGCCTCCCGCCAGAGGGTTTCGCTCCTGCCGGACGAGGAGATGAGGAGGCGCGCGTGGGTCACGCACGCCCGGCCCGACCACCACTCGGCAGAGCTCAGGCTTCCCACCGCCTCCTGAAAGCTTTCCTCGCTGCTGTCTCCGCAACCGGCGCCGCCAGCAGCAACAGCGCTCCCCCCTGCCGCCGCGGGCAGCACCGCGAATGAGAAGCCGTCGGGGCTCCACACGGGCGCCTCCCTCTCGGGGGAGGCCGCCGTCGGAGCAGTGTGGCCGGGGGTATTACGCCTTCCCGTGCCAGTGCCAGCGACGGCCATCAAGATCGTCCTCGCCAGCACGAGAGACCCCGGGAGGCTGCTCTGCGGGTACGGCAGCTCCCCGTCGCACGTAAGGGCGATGTTGGCCAGGTCCTGCGCGACGCCCCCGCCGCCGCCGCCGCCGCCGCGCCCTGCTGCGCCCTCTTCCCCTACCCCGCCGCCGCCGCCGCCGTAGGTGCCGACCAAAACATCGGCACACCAGGCGCAGATCGCCTCCGTGCGATCGGCCCCCAGCTCCGGGCCGGCATAGTTCTCCTGCAAGAAGAGACAGAGGGCCGCCGCCCCCGCCCAGGCGGCCTCAGCCGCTCGCCAGACGGCGGCGGCGCCCGGGCAGCCGCGTCGTCCGTCCCCACCGCCGCCAGCAGCACCCGTTGCCGCGGCATCGGCTCGCCGGTGTGCCTCGTCTTCCGCCAGCGGGGTGTTGCTGTTAGAGCCGCCGCCGCCGCCGACTACGAACGCCCTGACACACGCGTCGATGCTGCGGCTGCCGCCGCCGCCGTCGCTAGTGCAGCCATCTGCCGAGAACAAAGCCGTCTCCCGCAGAAGGTCTTCGTACTCTCCGCGGCACAGCCGGAGGGCCGCCCGACACGCGTCGAGCGCCGCTCTCGCCACCGCCGGGGGCATCGCCTCCACGCATACCCGTGCGGCTGCTTTGTCATCCTTCGAAGCACAAACATCAGCCGTTTCAGCAGACCCTTCTCGCGAATGGCCATCAGAAGCATCGCCACGGACGTGCGAGGAGAGAGCGGCGACGGCGGCTTCGACCTCGGCGGGGCGCGACTCGAGGCAGCAACGTTCCACCCGTCGGAGAAGTGGGAGATTCGCCGCTGCAGCGGCGGCGGCCGCGCTCGGGCCTTCTCCGGCGTGCTCCGGGAGGGGCGCGCCTCTCACCGCGTCCACCGCCGCTTCTTCTTTGCTCTCGCCAGCGGAGGGGGAGCCGCCGCCGGTGATTGGTCCATCGCCGACGGGGGTGCTGTCTCTGGGCTGCCGTAGTTAAAAAAAATGGAACGAAACAGGGGATGGGGATTGAGAGGATGGCGTGAGGGTGTACGGGGATGTTCTTCAATGTGCGTGCATGCCAACGAAAGAGCCGCAAACTCTGGGAACATGTTTTTTTTTTTGCGGAAAGCGACGCACGCAGCGGCAGTGCGTGAGACTGCAGAAACAACGTTTGTGCTCGGAGTGTGCGGCGGAACTCCAAGGGGTTTACCGGAATGAATGGATTCATTCTCTTCCAGGTCTGTTTGTTGTGCACTGGCGGTGCCCTCTAAGGACGTGGATGTGGCAGTTGCTCTGCTGCTCACCTCTTGTCACCTGCTGCTGGTATCCGCCGTGCACATTCTTCCCCTCTCTCTCTGAAAATTTTTGATGTGGTTGGACCTCGGGACAGGGACGGAAAGGTCCAACCACATAAAAAAAAAATCAGAGAGAGAGGGGAAGAAGTCCAACGTGTACGGCGGAGACCAGCAGCAGGTGACAAGAGGTGAGCGGCAGAGCAACTGCCACAACCACGTCTTTAGAGGGCGCTGCCAGTACCAGCATCAACGGCAGCTGGTGCACAACGAACGCCCTCCCGCTGCTCCTCCCCCCCATGCGGAGCAGCTTACTGCTGCTGCTGCTGCTGCTTCAGCACGTCCTTTTGTGCGCATTGGCCCAACAGACCTCCGCAGGAAAGTCGTCTGGCCGAAGCCCCGAACCCCTTTCCCACGGGGGTCACCAACGGTGGCTGTTCCCACGTGCACCCGAAGTGGGCATCTTGGGCACCTTGCTAACATCTGCATGGCGCCGACTCGCTCTATCACAAAACATGCAACTGCTGCGGAAAGGAAGGTAATGTCCGTCAGAATTGCAGGTTCAACCACCAGCAGCAGCAGCAGCAGCAGCAGCAGTAGCAGCAGCAGCAACAGCCGTGCGTGCAGCAGCAGCGCATGCCCCAGCAGTATCGCCTGCAGCAACAGCCTCTACCGCAGCAGCCTCATCAGTGGCATCATGAACAGCAGACCATGTCGATGAGATCCGTTCCCCTATGTACAATGGTTGGGGTAGGTTCCACAAACTCCGCCACACAGCACAAACCTTGCACTTCCTTCGCGATTACGGACGAGTCAAGTTCAGGCACTGCAGTGTCAGCAGTCTACCACAAGAACCAGCTGGGTCCGCTGGACGGAGCTAGAACAACGTCTTCCACACAACTCCAATCTTGTGCAAGCAGGCAAGTCGTCTACAGCAAGCAGTAGATACGGGCGCCTTTTGAGACGTGGTTACTGCATATCGCCAGCACGGCCCATTTACTCACAACAGACACTTGCGCCCACCATTGCATGCTACATGTACCCACATCGATCATTGTAGATAGATGCCGACGAGCCTGCGGGCAATGCAGCCACGCTCTTCTCAGTAGAATCACTTCTCGGAGAGGCGACACCAACAACTGAATTACCTATGTTGGGTACTTCTGCGTGTGGCGCGTAACGCTACACCTCAACTACAACACCCAAACAGCGTCGTGCGCCGCACGCAGGATAGTCTACTGTTGTTGGTCTTGCAACGGATGCCGTGCGTACAGCATTGGTGAACTACACATACCTTCACCACGGTGGTCGCCGTCGATGATGCCGGGTCAGTGGGCGCTGCAGCCATGCCATTCTCAGTTGGACCACTCGTTGGAGAGGCAGGGTCGTCGACGGGACTGTCGGGAATGCCATTGGGGACTTGCTCATCGTCGCTGTCGCTACTTGCCGCAAAGTCGACACCCTCGAAATCTCCCGCACCAAGCCCCAGGAGCTCCTCCATGCTCGCGTTGCCGTCTCTCTGTCTGACACGCGCTTGCCTGACTGGCACACACTGCTGCTCCTGGTGGTGGGTGGCATGGGCGGATGGATACGAATACAGAGAGTTCGGGATACCCCCCCCTTGTGCTATCCTTTGCGCGCCCCCGCCCTTTCGGTCGCATGGGCTGTGATTGGCGGGCAGGTCATTCTTCACTCGGCCCGTTCTGCCTGCCACCCCCCCCTCACCTGGTAGCCGCACAGACCTACGCACGACCATTGACCGCGGCAGGATGGAAGGTAAGCAGTTTGGTGATCGGTGCCTGCCTTTGACTCCGCCTGATATGATGGTGTATGCCAGTCCCCTTGGGCCGATTTTCAAAGCTCAAGGAAACGCCTACATATCTTGCTACAGTAGTTTTCCACAGTCTACACAGTAGCTCCAGTACGAAACTACGATCCCAAATTCACCGTCCGCAGATATCGCTTGGGTGCAATATTCGTGTCTGAGATTATGGCCCTTGTAATACACTATTATACAGATTAGCGGTCCGCGATTTTCGAACCAATCCTTCCATCATCGAGATCGGTGAGCTACGAGCAGGATTTATTTTTGCTTGCGATGCGGTCCGATATTGAAACGCTTCAAGCACACCGTGGCCGCGAAATCAGCGTCGATGTGCGTGCGTGGGGCCGAGTAACTTCAGCGCAGCTCTTCCCTCGCATGTGCACATCTTGCTCGTTGCCAAAGTCGATTTAAACGCCTGAGGTCCTGTATATGTAGGTCTAGCCTTGTGAGCATTGGTGCTTCAATTTATTATGCGTTTCAAAATCGGACCGCACAGCCGCTTCAAGCATCCTGCTTAGCTTGTTGTAGCTCACCGATCTCGATGATTGGGATTGGCTCGAAAATCGCGGACCTGCTAAACTGTCGTGTATCACAAGGGCTAAAATCTCAGGCGTTATCATGTACACAGGTGACATCTGCGGACTGTTAATTTGCGATGGTACTTTCGTACGGGAGTTGAACTTTGGAAAATTAAGATACAGTACGCAGGCGTTTCCTGGATTTTTGAAGAGGAAAACTTCGTACTCCACCGCGGCCCTAGGATTGCGGTGGAGTTTACATCTCCTCTTTTTCAAAAACACTCTAAACGTCTGCGTATCCTAGTTTCTAAACTCTAACTCCACTACGAATCTGAAGCTGCCATCGCGCCAAAACCATTCGCGGGCGTCGTGAGAGTGCAACGTTAGTAGCTCTTGTGATACAGGACGGATTTGTTTGCGGTCTGCAATTTTCGAAACGGCACAGTTCGGTGAGCTGCTGTACAGGCAGGATTTGGGACAGCTGTGCCGTCCGGCTTTTGAACGTTTCAACTCTTGTTCCATGTACCTCCACGCTTCTGGCGGTGAAGCGCTTTCCTCTCAGATTTGAGGCGTCCAAGTACCCGTTGCCCTACCACGGTTTCACCTCTCGCATAGCTTTGTGCTTTGTTTCAGTCGTGAGGCACGCCGCTTCGCGTGTCCGGGGCGTTGTCCCATCTGTGTTAATCGGGAGGTTCTCTCCCCTCTATCTCACACCACTGCTGTCCTCCCCGCTCCACAAGTGGGTCTTATACTTCTCTCTACACACAAGTATTTCGAGAAACACATCCAGCCCACATTAGAAACTCGCGGCGGTTCATGTTTGTGTACCTGTGTCAGACGGGGGCAAGACAGGCATCGACAGGCGTCGACAGCATCGTGTGCGTGTGTTCGTTTTCGTCGGCTTTACGACCTCACCGCAAGTTTCGAAATCGAGCTTTTTTTCGTCCCACAGAGTTCTTCCTTACCTAACGAAACGGGGCTGTCACGAGGGCTCACTCGCGAGAGATGCCCCATTAGGATCATATTATATTTGTATATGTGAGCGGCTAGAGGGACTGTCGAGAGGAGAGAAGTGACCATGCATTGCTGACAAAGGCTCGTTGGGCCACTGCTGCGGGAGATCTGATCATGGCACCCGCGCCGTGTGCGAAATCGACTTTTTTGAACCGTTGATTTTTTGTTAGATTTCACAGCATCCGATGCGCACTAAGCTCGTTTCCGAAGTCTCCACGCCGTGGAAGTTGCCTCTTTATTGCATTTGTTGCATGTTCTTGGAGAGGTCCGTCGTCCGGTTGACCGCAAGATTGAGTGGAGGCGGTAGTTTGTTGCCAACTGGCGTGCGGCCAATAGCACCCACGCTCTAAAGCGCGTAAAACATTCTGTGCGTTATGCATGCTGCTGTCATTTACCGCGGGAGCAGTTCTTGTGTACCCTGTCCCGTGTGAATCGCCGTCTCACGAAGTACTCGACGTTCAACCTTTGGCGTGCGCATTGTTGCTGTGTGTTGTGCAGGTCCCGGGCGATGTTTGGAAGCCTTCGCCGTTGCTCTCAACACGAGCTGTGACGGGAATGTTTGGTACACATCGACAAAGGAGCTTCAGCTGGCGTCTTTGCAGTTTTGTGTGAAGTGCAGAAAGGTGCCTTCGTTGCATCTTGCTGTCAACAACGCGCACGTGCCTGCCCGCCTGTGGAACGATCATGCTGCTACGGAGGCTCGCACAGGAGCAAAACGGCCCAGTACTACGCCCGTGCCGGTGTTTCGGCCGCGCGAGGTGACTTGGGGACGACCAGCTTGGTTGCTATCAGACATATGCCTTGTGTTTGCTAAAGTGGAGCGTTTTCTTGTCCGCCAAGACACCGTGGTGGACGATGTGGTATGGCCATGTAGGCTCAAGAAGCTGTTCTTCGGCGAGGGATTCGATACGCCGGTGGACCACGCTGCGTGGCCGGCTTCACTTGAGGAAATCACGTTCGGGAAAAAGTTCAAGCGGCCGATCAATGGTATATCGTGGCCAAGAGCGCTGAAAAGGCTAACGTTCGGCCTCAACTTCCAACCAACCCATCGACAATGCCGTCTGTCCACCTCCCCTACAAGTTTTGATCTTTGGAGACATGTTCAACCAGCCTATTGACACCGTGTCGTGGCCGGCTTCGCTCCGGGAACTTACTCTTGGATTCTCCTTCAACCAACCCATCAGCACGGTCTCGTGACCCCCAAAGTTGCAACGCTTAGTCTTCGGATGTTTTTTTGATCAGCCGATCGATGGCGTCCGATGGCCAGCGTCATTGCAACAGCTCATCTTCGGGAACGACTTCAACCAGCCGTGTTACGCCGTTCCATGGAGGTTGCAAAGGCTGTACTTCAGGAGCTGGAATCGAACGTACCGGTGTTCTCTTGACACGTAGCCAGTAGGCGGTTTCAAGCAGCCGGTTTGGGAAACGGTTTTTCCTGCTTCGCTGCAAGAGCTGACCTTTGGAATCAGCTTCAGGCAGCCCATTGACAACGTGGCGTTCCCTGCACATTACGAAAGCTGTTTTGTGGGCGGGATTTCAATCAACCGATTAGCGAAGTATTTTGGCCGCCATCGCTGCGTCACCTGGTTTTGGAGAAATCTTTGACCAACCAATCGACGGCGTATCGTGGCCCTCCTCGCTCGAAACGCTTGTCTTGGGGAGGCCTGCGCAACGGGATCTATTTCCTACCAACACGGTTACCCTTTCCCGGTTGGCTTCAACCAGCGGATTTGTGGAGTGGCGTTTCCTGCGTCTCTTCAGGAGCTTTCTTTCGGCGACAACTTCAACCGGCCGATCAACAGGGTCTTGTGGCCAACTTCGCTGCGTCATCTGGTATTTGGAAATACCTTTGATCAACGAATCGACGACGTATCGTGGCCCGCCTCGCTCGAAACATTGCCTTCGAGACACCTGGACAACATCCTACCTGCAAGGTTATCCGCCCGACTGGCTTCAACCAGCCGATAAATGGCGTGACGCTTCCCGCGTCCCTGCAAGAGCTTACCATCGGCGACGCCTTCAACAGGCCAATCAACACGGTCTCCTGGCCACCATCGCTACGACGGCTCACGTTCGGCGAGCGCTTCACACGGTTCAAGAACATCGAGTGGCCCCTCACTCTGCAGTGTCTGACGCTGGCCTGCCCGCCGGACAAGCCGCTCCCAGAATACCCAGGAGTGCGAGTTTGCAGAGGTTGGAATTCTGGGCCGTAGACGTACGTGTCAATGGGGTGGCACGCGTAAGAGCTGTTGTTCTGGTGTAGTTGGCGCGTTGGCATGCAAAAGGCGGGCATTCTCTTCAACCAGCCAATAAATGGGCAATTAAGCGGGATGCGAGCGCCGAGCCTGAAAATGCTTGAAAGGAAGCGGCATGTAGGTTAAGAAATGGCGTGAAGATGTTGCGGACACAATCCTGGTTAAGAAAATGGGATTTGTGCACGAGTGAAGTCGTCGAAGAAGATCGGGAGGGAAAAACGGTCCAGCCCGCCTGCGCACAATGTGTTGTACAATTTGTAACTTTTTTGGTTTTGCTTGACAACTGTCTACTATGTGCTTCTTTTCTGGTCACACGGGGGAACTAGCTACTGAAGCGCTGTGCGGGCTTCCCTTCATGTCGTTCTTTCCAACTGTAGTATCTCATGCCGCTTGCTTCCTGTATGCGACCGGAAACAGCGAGTGTGCGTATGCACATGTAGGCTACAACTTTTCAGGGGACCCGACGTTCAGATTGGTTGTCGCATCAGTAGCCGGTCGACCGGTAGTCTAGTTGGTATCCTCGCGATTCTTGTACTAATGGCCAGGTCAGGCCGGCGTACTAGATGAGCTTCTTGACAACTGTTTTTTTTCTCTCACCTCTCTCTGTGTTCCTGGTGTGGAAAGCGCTACATTGATCGTGTGAACACCTTTGAGGGAAGAGAATGCTGTACTCTTGTGAAAAATTGAAGGCAAGAACCGCAGGAGGGGTGGAGCGAGAGGACCCTTCCGTGTGACCGCGGATTGGAGCTGCTACGCTCCTGAGATCCCGGGTTCCATGCTGCGGCGTTTTGGCTGAGGCGGGGACATGTTCCAGAGATCCCCGAGTTATTTGCTGAGGCATTTTCGCTGGGCTGCTGCTGCAGCTTCTTCTCTGTGTGTGTGAATATCATCTGGATCAAAATATATCATTCTCTATGGGTGCGACCTCTTGCCTACACCCTCTTTCTCTCTCTTGATCGTGTCTATCAATATACCAGGTATGTGCCTACTGTACATACAGTACAAGCTCCTCGTCGTGGGTAACGTAGCGCTACTACGGCTCTCGCTGTGAGATAGATGTATGCATATGGTAGGGTAATCGAACGCGAACGTCCGAAGGTCACAAACACTTTCCGAATTGCTCGTATTCTGTAGTACGGAGTTTGGGAAGATCAACTTGTGGTCTTGGATTGTTTTTTCATTCCGAGGGCCGACGTCCGATGGATCTTCAGGAAAATGTGAAATTGGTCATTCGCTTTTACGAATCGCCCCCAAAGACCGCAGAAAAACTCCAATTTCATTTGGTCGTTTTTTGGAAAAGTAGCAGGTGCTCGTTTCGCCCCGGGAGATGCCCCGTGGGCTTCTTGCGGACTGCAAACAACACAGATAACCTTCCTTGTGTGTGCGCCAGAGCCCAAACTCGTGGCAAAACGCAGCAAACCAGAGAGGCGACCGGACGTTGAAGAAAGGTGCACACATGCTGCTCGCTGGCACAGCACCCTTCACAACGCACGCCGTTCTTTTCGTTGACTTTTTCGAATAACAAGCAACACGCAACGCTTGGAACGGGAAAAAGGCTCACGCGTTGCGCACGCCACGTTACACCTCTCTCTCAGGGTCAGCCAACCATCGGCAGGCAAACAGCAGATAGATGTCGAAGAAAATGGCTCAGAGGAGGGGTGTCCAATAGCCAAAAGGTTCCGTGGCGATCGGCGTTTGAAACGGCGTGAACTGAGTGAGAGAGCGTGATGTGTAGCGCGTGGTCAGAAAGATATCACAGGAGCCAGCAAGGTGTACAATTGTCTACATTCAGCAGCAGTGTGTACCTCTTTCGTACTACTATTTGGACGCGATACAGTAGGGTCAACAATATTGCAAGCGTGCAATGGGGATCTTCAGTTCTATGTCTCACTGTTGAAGGAGGTTCGCTTGACAGCGTGGTGTGGTATGTAGTAGAGCTGCGCGGGAGCGACACGGGAGTTCCTCGGTGTATGTGTGTTTGGACGTGAGGAGACAGATAAAGAGCAAACGGTCACCACGTGCATGAGGTCACATTTATTTGTACATCATCACTGCTGTATAGACTTGTTGAAAAAAGCCAAGAAAAAGAACAGGGAGAGGTCTGGGTTTCGATCTTTCTCCCGACTTCCAAGACCCAAAACCAAAGACCTGTCCGCAAACACCCTACTGTAGGTTATTGGTTGATGGAAACTGCCCCCCGGGGGGACTTCCGTCTTTACTTACGCAGCTTAACATATATGCACCTACTGCTGCTTTGTAAAGCAGTGTTCATACATGCATCCGAAAATTAAATTTTCGTTCGCTGGTGACCCCTTGCTAGACCCTGCTAGACTATGTACAGCAGTACAATATAGACTATAAGATTGATCGATATTCCAGGTGGACAAGCATCACCCAAGTGACGGAAAAGGCCTCAAGCACCCAGTGGTATACATACCAAGCTTGACGGCTATGGCAGGATAAAAGTGCGAGTGAGAACTGCAGCGTTGCAAGCGCAGTCGTTGCACACCCGTCAAGACCAGCACGCCTCTGGAACCATGCAACTCCCGGTTTCAGCGGGCGCGAATATTTGCAATCCATGGATTATAGAAGAGAACCACAGTCCAAACATCCAGACGGATCGAAACCCCGGGAAACCGCCCGGAGTGTCCCCGAAGAGGTTCTTCTCCCTCTCCTATAAAAGCAGCGATAATCACGGCGGCGGAGAGCCGTCTGAAGGCGGCGACACGCACCCGCACGCTGGGGGAAGACGAGGAGACAACACACAACGATAACTGGTGAGATCCCGTCCCGACAGGCGTCCGTGCATCCTCTGTGTCTGTGCCTCACCCTCACCCTCTCTGTGATGTTTTTTTTGGAAATAAAATAGCAACGGCCGCACCCGCACCAGCGCCATGTGTGTGTTGGTCTGTCTCCTGTGTTGCAGCCTCCCTCATGCTGTCCCACGTGTCGATGCTGCTCTGTACCTGTTGTTGCCGTCGTACGTACGTTGGTGATCATGTGCCTGCACTGGTGTGGTCAGGCCAGGCCAGGCCCTGCCTGTTGTCCTTGCCGTATAGTCCGGAGTCTTTTCTTCTGGCTGCTCGGCTGTATGGTGGTGCTACAGCAGTGCTGGGCTGGTAGAGGTGCAGGCATTGTGCACGCACTTGCCCAACCCCTTAACTTCATGTGTCTACCCTCCATGTTCGCGTCGTGGGACCCGTGGCCTGCCGTGCGGTAGTGTCATTGCTAGGAATGCTTCCATCCAGTGCTGCTCTGTCGGCCTCTTACGGTGCTCGTCATGCTGGCGCTGCGGGAGCCTTTGCGGGCTACCCTGTACAAGCCCACCCCGTACAGCAACAACAGCAGCAGATATTGACCACCAGCCCTCCGCCGGAAACGCAGGCGAGACGGGTTGATGTTTGACAAGTGCGGTTCGACGTGACACCGGCAATGTTTGTTCCGTGGGTGTAGCACGCCAGTGGATTGTCGCTGCTGTGCTGTACCTCGTGCCTTTCAACGCGTGCACGTACGGTTCGCTGTTTTCGTGTACTCAGCGGTGGACGGCGAAACGTTTCATTTGTCTTGTCTTGTGATCAAACGTTGACATGGTGTCCTTCCATTCCGCCGCGTGGTGGGTTTCGCGTGCGGTTGCAGGCCATGCTTTCACCTCGCACTGGTCTGCCGTTGGGAACTCCGGCCCCTGTGGGTGCTCCCGATGCTGGGGCCGCCGGAGGTTTTGCGGGCTACCCTGTACAAGCCCACCCCGTACAGCAACAACAGCAGCAGACATTGACCACCAGCCCCCCGCCGGAAACGCAGGCGAGACGGGTTGGTGCTTGACACGTGCCGTTCGGCGTGACACCCACAATGTTTTTTTGTGTGCTTTACTTGATGTTGCTGCTGCTGTTCCCCTTGGCCCCATGAAAAGAGCACCGGTATCTGGCATTCCCCCGGTCCACATCAAGGCTCCCTGTAGAGGCCCTGCCATTGTTTCCGTGGGTGTAGCACGCCAATTGATTGTCCCTGCTGTGCTGCACCTCGTGCCTTTCAACGCGTGCACGTTCGGTTCGCTGTTTTCGTG